GCAGATAAGGTATAAATAAGGTATGTGCAGATGTCCTGTGGAAAAACTGTCTCATCTGTTAACTTAGAACAAAACTTCTGAAGCAGCAGTTTCATTTTGGCAGACCGAAATGCATAGGCAAATTGAATCGACAGACCAATTTTGACAATAGCTATGCAATAAGGCCTCAAGCTATTTCGGACAACCGAAATAAAAGCCTAATCCATTTTGGCAGACCAAAGTAAAAAGGTGAATGATAGTCTCAGGACATTTTGAACGACCGAAACAAAATGGTGTTTCATTTTGGTCGACCGAACCAGGGCAGATTCAAATTTGAACAGCTATTTCCTCTCGGGCAGTGTGCACAACAGCTCTATTTTTGAATTAGCTGCAGAAACTCTATAAATAGAGTAAGGGGACTTCGGGATTTCATGTTGCTGCACTTAAGAGACATCTTTTAGCATCATAAGAGCTTTTGTTCTTCATTCATATCATACTCTCTCATCCCATATCATTCATAAAGTATTGAGCTTCAATTTATTCATATATACTCTAGTTGTGAGCTAATATTTGCATATTAATCTTTGAGAGATAAATTTGTATACAACAAATCTGATCTTCAATTTGTAAAGGCTGGTGTGGCCCAAGGAAGAAGAAGCAAGCTAGCTTCATATTTGTAAAGGCTGGTGTGACCCAGAGGAAAACTAAGAGAGGTTGTCTCTTAGCAAAGTGAAGCAAAGAGTTGCTTCATATAAAGGTTTGATCTCCACCCGTAAGGAGATGCACTAGTAAATTAGGAAGTCTCAAGAAGGGTCTTGAGCCGATAAGTAGGAGTTTCTGAACCTCGCTAAAATTGCCATGTGAATGTTTACAATCTCTTTTCCCTTATCTCATTTACATTTATGCTATTAATTGCTCATGTTTATATCTTGATAATTGCATAATTGTTAGAAGGGTTTAGTAGAATTTGCAAAACTGAAAATTGGCCATTGTTTGCCAAAGACTCTATTCACCCCCCTCTAGATTCAATACTTGGGCAACAACCATAATTTCTCCTTCTTTAGGAATGGCTCGCGAACTTTCATCAGGAAGTTTAATAGCCTGTTCCCCTTCAATTTCGGCAAGATCTTAAACAAATTTGCCTTGTCTTTTTCCTCCCGCGATAGAAACACTCCGTTCAGAATGTCCCGCCAGGTGTGCCACTATGTTGGGCTTGAAAAAAAGCGGGCATCGGTTCCGATGGAACCGAATGGGCATGCCAGGAACTGCAGTAGTTCCAAAGAGAGATCCAAGCAATATTCCAAAAGGAAGACTACGAGACTAGGCGATTATGAAGAGGTCTGGAATAAACACCTCTAGGTTCTTTTTGCCTTTGATAAAGGACTTCGGGAAAGTTAACTGGTTAAGATGAACTGTAAAATTACTTATGAAAGTAAAGGAATTATCTAATAAAAAGTAAAGTGCAAGACTAAAACTAATCAAATTGAAAGTGCATTAGAATGAAAAGTAAAGTTGTATTGAAATGCTGTGTTTGGCGTTAAACCCCTATTACGTTATACATAATGACCTATTTATAGAATGAAAAATACAATCAGTTAGTAATAGCAGGTCCATTGATGCCACCAAAAGCTACCAAGTGTCCAAGCCATGCAATCGTACCTTTCTGATCCTTCCAGAATTTCCACGTTTCTCTTCCACGTTCTAATTATGTAACCGTGTCTGGAAATTCGTGCCTGAAACTCCTATGTTCCAAACATTTTGGAATTGTGTTTTGATTTCTTGGAACTTCCACGTTCCAAACGTGCAATCATGTTTGATTTTCGTTTAGAGCTCCCACGCTCCAAACATACCAACAATCGTGCCCTTAATTTTTCTTTGGAGTGCCCACGTTCCAAACATGCCAACAATCGTGCAATTGTGCCCTTAAATGCCGTTAAAGCTCCAACATTCCAAACATGTAATCGTGTTTTGATTTTTCTGGAACTTCATGCAATCGTGCCATCACTATTGATTCCCTAATAAATTGCACGACAAGAAATGGCCATCACCCATTTTCAGGATGGTGGTAGTAGTGGCCCACATTAAAACGGTTAGATTTTCTGTTATATTATAGCTTTTGAAGAAAACTAACTTCCACATTTTAGGAACTCTATATCCACGTCTAAAACTCCAATAATTGACACGTTCCTTTGACCAAGTCATCTTGTTCAAACGTGGCTTCTTTTGTAGTGGACTTTCATACTAACTCAACTGTCAGATAAATCTCATACACATGCCCACGTGTTTTATTTCCATTGGAGACACTGTTTTAAGCCAAAAACTATCAACGACTTCTAATTAAAATTCCTAGAATTTTGTCTTGACCCAAACTCCTCTCATATATCACAAACCGGCTTCGCCCAAAAATTCCTTCCACGTGTGTATTTTCCATTGAGCCAAAATAAGGGTGTAAACAAACTTATCATGAATTCACTGATTTATGTCGATTCCGTTATTGTTGCTGGATTGGCCGTAGGGCTTGTTACTATTGGACCTGGAGTTGGTCAAGGTACTGATGCAGGCTAAACTGTAGATGGTATCACCAGACAGCCCGAGGCGGAGGAAAAAATAAGAGGTACTTTATTACTTAGTCTGGCTTTTATGGATTGGTTGTAACTGTTGAACCAATAGGGGGGTGAATTGGTTAACACTTTACTTTATAAAACTTTCACAATACAACTAAACAAACATTCAAGGAACAGATAACACAAGGTTTACAAGGAAACCCTCTTAATTAGGGAAAACCTTGGTTCCTGGCCTCAGCCAATAAGCAATCCACTACTTGCTGTATGATCTTGTTACACACTCAGCTGTCTCACTCTCTTCACACACACCCAGACACAAGAATAGACACTAATTTTCATAACCAATACACACACTAGTACACCAAAGTGCATCCAAGCACTCCCCCTATCCTAAACAACCATGCTTGGACCAAATAAGCTCTCACAGCTCACCAGACACACCATTACAGATGTAGTTCAGTACAATAAAGTTTTTGCAATAATTAAAATAAGTTGGACACATAGAATTCCAAGTTACTGCCTCAGAACTGCAATCTACTGCATCTAGGGTCCGAGGGGTAAAATGGCAAATTCCTTTTGAGATTAATTTACCAGCACCTTACACAGTCTTCTTTCACTATTGTACTCATTTTTATAGCTTTGCATAATCAAACACAGCATGAGTATATCACAAAGTTCAGTTAAAGTCCTTGGTTTAGCACATAAAAGCTTCAGCACAAAATAGCTTCAGCACAAAATATCTTCAGTACAAAATAGCTTCAACACAGAATAACTTCAACACAAAATAGCTTCAGCATAGAATGGTCTTAGCATAAAATAGCTTCAGCACAGAATACTCAAAATCAAACCATACCATATTTCTGTCACAAGTCAACTTTAACAATCTTGATTCATCAAAATATACTTGCTAGCAGCATAAATCATTATGAAATAGCTAAGTATAATCAAACAGCACTTGAATCCATGATTAATTCACAAAAACAAGCTTAACTAGTGACCACACTGTCCAAATTCATTTTCTATATATTCTCAACACAAACACAATCTGAGCAAGTGTAAAAAGATGAATTATACATTTGTCAACCTTCAGAATAGACTACTGCAGCATGAAACACAAAGTCACTACTCAATACAGCCCTTGCATCAACAACTTTGATAGCAGCCTCATCTCAACAATCAGTACACACCTCAAAGTTGATTCAATGAGTTTTTATTGCATAGATCATCATCAAACAGCAGAGAAAAACTTGTTTGACATAGTATGTTTGAGGGTTCTCAGGTGCAGCTCAATGTGCAATGTGAATTTTTAAGGCTTGAACCCTAAGGAGCCTTATAACAACATATATATACTAGTGTACTCATAGCAACCCTTGTATAGCTGCTACAATACACCCGTCACATTCCACCAATGATTGGGAGAGCATAATTCAGATATTTTCAGAGCAATACACCAATACAGACCTGCCACCTCAACTAATTTATCACTATTCTCACCAGCTGCAGCAAGTAACAAGTTTTAATACTGAATTCTAATTCTATCCAAACCTAGCCTCTAAGGAATGTAATATTCTTGCATATACTAGCTCTCTAAGACCATTGAAACGTGTCACATATTTGAGCAGAGCTAGAAAGTACCAAAATACCCTTGTGACAGATTTTATGCATCTTAACTAAGCAAAAGTCCCGAGGCTACATAAAGGGCAATGCAGGTTCATTCAAGACAATCCAGTGCAATGCAGCTACCTGAGCATACATATATATATGCAATACAACTGAGAAAAGACAATAGTACCCCTGTGAGCACCTGTAGCTAAAACTTAAGTGTTGAACCTTCACTGTCACAGTGATTTTGATCAAAACAAGCTAAAGCATTGCAATGCACTATTACAGACCATTAAGTACAATGTGATACAAGGTAGTAAATGATAGTACAATCCCTGGACCTTATTTTAACACACAATGTAGATAGAAATCATACTTGAAGCCACTGAAACAATACTTTTTGACATTAAAAGGCAAACATTCTTTAAGGTAACTTAGGACCAACAATCTCCCCCTTTTGCCTTTAATGACAAAAACTTTGATATGAAATAAGGCCTCAATCACAGTGATGCAGATAACAAAAAAGAGAACAACCCAAATACAAAAGGAATAGCTTCAAGCTATCCTTATTTCAGTCCATTTCTCCCCCTTTTTGACATTGAAGGTCAAAAGATGAGTAGGACCAACAATATAAGTTCAGGAGGGAGGAGGAACAACCCTGAGAAGAGCTCCAAGGGTTGAGAATCTCTAAGGAAGAAGAGGTTTGGTCATGACGTCTGCAAGTTGATTTTTAGTAGGCAAATAAATAATATCAATAAGTCCTTTTTGAACTTTATTTCTGAGAAAGTGATACTTGATGTCAATATGTTTGCTCTTCCAATGTAGTGTGGGATTCTTACTGATAACAATAGCACATTAATTATCACAGAAAAGCTTGAGAGGTCCAGAGAATTGAATGCCAAGATCTGAGAGAGTAGTTTTCATCCAAAGTAATTGAGAGCCAACTTGTGAGGCAGCTATATACTCAGCTTCAGAGGTTGAAAGAGAGACAGTGTCCTGCCTTTTATTTAGCCAAGAAACAACATTGGAACCAAGAACAGAACAACAACCAGAGGTACTTTTTCTGTCAGGTAAAGATCCACCCCAATCAGCATCTGAGGAGCTACAATAGACATTGAGGGTGAGTAAATATAGAATAGACTATAGGAGATGGTGCCCTTGACATATCTGAAGATTCTTTTGGCTGCTTGAAGATAGAGATTCTTGGATTGCTTTGAAATCTAGCCACTAAACCCACTAAATACATTATATCAGGCCTTGAAGCAGTAAGATATAACAAACTACCAATGATTGACCTGTAAAGTGTTGAAGGAATAGCTTCAGTGGTGCACTTCAGTGAGAGTTTGGTATTAGGACATAGTGGTGTTGAGACAGCCTTACAATCATCCATTTTTAACTTTTTAAGTAGCTCAGAGGCATACTTTTGCTGAAAGATGAAGATTCCAGTGGATGTTTGGGTAATTTGTAGGCCTAAAAAGTATCTGAGAGTCCCTAAAAGTGACATTTCAAACCTTGTCTTCATGAGATTAGCAAATTCTGAAGCTAATAAGGTGTCCGAGCCACAAAACATGATATCATCAACATAGATTTGCAGAATTAGAAACTGTTCTTAATGAGTTTTTACATAAAGAGTATTATCAACCTTGCCTTTGTGAAATCCTTGTTCAACTAAGAACTGATGCAGCTTCTCATACCAGGCTCTGGGGGCTTGTTTGAGACCATACAAAGCCTTACTTAGTTTATAAATATGAGAGGGAAACTCTGAATCTTCAAAGCCTTCAGGTTGTTCCAAGTAGACTTCTTCATTTAGATCTCCATTAAAAAAAAGCAGACTTGACATCCATTTGGTATACTTTGACTTATTTGTGACAGGCAAAACATAAAAGCATTCTAATGGATTTCATTCTTGTAACTGGAGCAAAAGTTTCATCATAATCAATACCAGCCTACTGAAAGTAACCTTTATACACCAGTTTTGCCTTATTTCTGATAACTGGTCCTTTTTCATCCATTTTATTTCTGAAAATCCACTTTGAGCCAATTATATTCTTGTCTTCAGGTCTGGGATCAACTGTACAAGTATCATTCTTATTGATTTGATTAAGTTCCTCTTGCATAGCAGCTAGCCAATCTCTACTTTTCTGAGCTTCAAAATAAGACTTTGGTTCAATGGATGACAGCATAGCAAAGTGACTGTATTCTTCACCATCTTCAGCTTCTAATTCATTTAGCTTCTTTTTGTTTCTTGTTTAAACTCCAACTTGAGATGAACCAATGATGTTCTCAGCTTAAACCTGCTTCTGCAGCATTGGATAAGTGGTTCTCTTGGATCTTCAGGTTTAGTAACTGAGGAACTGGTTTCATTTGAACCAAAAGTATTGTCACAGTCTTCAAGAGGTGTGGACTGAGGATTCTCATCAAACTTCACATTGATTGACTCAACCACCTTCGAAGACCTGAGATTGTAGCATCTATAAGCCTTACTTTTTGTAGAATATCCCAAGAATATGCCTTCATCAGCCTTTGAACCAAACTTTCCCAGATTATCAATGTGGTTCAGTATATAACACTTGGTGCCAAACACCTTGAAGTAGTGAACTGTTACAGGTCTTCCATACCACAATTCATATGGTGTTTTATTTAAATTTGGTCTAAGAAGAACTCTCTTGATAATATGCACAGAAGTACTTACAGCCTCAGCCCAAAACCCTTTTGCCAAGCCTTTTTCAAGTAGCATTGTTCTTCCTATTTCCTGAACTGTCCTATTTTTTCTCTCCACAACCCCATTTTGTTGAGGAGTGGCCACAGCTGAGAATTTTTTCTTAATACCCTTGTCATCACAATAATGCTTAAATTCTTTCATGATGAATTCAAAGCCACAATCAAACCTAAGTCTCTTCACAGTGCAGTTTTTTTCATTTTCAACAAGATTGACAAACTTAATGAAATGTGTAATAGCCTCATATTTTTCTTTCAAGAACTAAACTCATACCATCCTACTAAAATCATCAATAAGAAACATGAAATACTTACTTCCACTAACACTAGTAGTTCTGGTAGGGCCACAGAGATCCATATGTATCAAGTCAAGAGCTTTTGAAGAGTTGGTTTCCTTGGAGGGAAATAAGACTTTGGTTTGTTTTCCTTGTTAACAAGCTTTGCAGAGATGATCTTCTTTGAAGTTGATATCAGGTAAACCTCTGACAGCTTTTAGTTTAAGAAGTTTAGACAAATTTCTTAAGTGCAGATGTCCTAATCTTTTGTGCCATAGCTTAGCTTCATCACAAGTTGTTAGATTGCATTGAGTATTCTGAGTTTCTTTAGTGACAGTATAAAAATTTCCTGAGGATCTATAAGCTAAGAAAATGACTTGTTTGGATCTGAGATCAACCACACTACACTTCTCTTTATCGAAGCATACTTCTTTTCCATTATCACACAGTTGGCTTACACTGAAAAGATTGTGTTTGAGTCCTTCGACAAGTTGAACTTCATGAATCTCAGGTAATTCTTCAGAATTGTTTACAGTTCCAATACCAATAATTTTTGCCTTTTGATTATCTCCAAAGATAATGTTTCCTCCATCAAACTGCTTCAGAGAAGTAAATTTGGATTTATCACCTATCATGTGTCTAGAGCAGCCATTATCAACATACCATTTGTCTTGAGTGTTACAAGTTTTAAAAGTTGTATACACTAGGAGGCTCACAGAGTTTAATTTCTTAGGAATCCATATCATTTTAGTCTTCATCAATGATCCTTTGTCCTTGACCTTCTGAGCTGAAGTTAAGTCTGACTTCTTGACATACATTCTAGTTATCTTGAAGTTCCTTATAGCTCTAGTAGTAAAGTCTCTCTTGTTGAAGCTTAGAGCACTGCAGGTGTCATTAAGTAACTCCCCTTGAACCTCTAAGGTTTTATGATAGGAAACCTTGCATGCACTTCACCAGTTGTGGCTTTGACAAATACAGAGTGAGTTTGATTGACCTTTGTAGCTGAATTACACACATAGCCAATTCCAGTCTTTCTAATTTGCTTTGTGGATTGCTTCTAGATCTCAGCCATCTTTAGGGATCTTTCTTCAAGAATGAGAGACAGTTCTTCTTTACACTTCTTGGTAGACCACTGAGTGTTGACTTGAGATTTCAATAGGCTTTAAAAAATAAGATAAGCTGAACACAGCATTGACAGTTTAAGTTTGAAGTGTTTAGTGAGAATTTGTTTGGACTTTAACAATTCTGAATTGAGCCTTTTTATCTGAGACTTCTATTGATTACACTTCACTGCAAGCCTTTTACATTCTTCAAGAATTTCGTCAATCTCAGTGTCACTATGTTCTTCAACTTGAATTGGAGTTTGTGGTGCTTCGAGAATTGCCATAAAGAAATATTCATCTTCTTGTGTCTCCTCAGGTTTATCTTCTTCAGGAGCTGCATCCCAGTCTGAGATAAGTGCTTTTCTACTAAACCTTCCTTTGTAGTTTCCTCCCTCACTCTTCTTTTGACTTTTCCCCTTTGAGTTAGGACAATTAGATACAACACGACTAGGTTTACCACACTCATAACAGGTTAAATTTTGCAGCTGATTCTTCTTTTTAAACCTGAACTTTCTGAATTTCTTAGCAAGGTAGGCTACCTCATCTTCTTCAAGATCATCTTCAGACTTTGTTTCAGTTTCTTCAACAACTTCATTTGCTTTAAGAGCAGTTTCTCTTCTATGAATAGATGGAACATCAATTCTCATTTCATAGGTGATGAGAGAGGCTTGAAGCTCATCAATCTTCAATTTAGAAACATCTTTGTCTTCGAGAATTGTCACTTTAGGATTGAATCTAGAAGTGAGTGACCTTAGTATCTTCTTACAAACATCAACATCCTTAATATCTTCACCAAGAGCTCTCATATTATTGACAAGGTCATTGATCCTGAACATGTACTCAACAACAGTTTCTCTTTCTTCTATCTTACAAACCTTATACTGAACTTTGAATAGCTGTATCTTGTTCTCCTTAATAATATTGTTTCCCTCATAAGCTGCTTGAAGAGAATCCCATATTTCTTTGGCTGTTTTACAATTTTTAACTCTGGTGAACTCCTGTTGCCTCTAGGCACAAAAGAGAACATGTTTGGCCTTGCCATCATTAGCCACAGCCAATTTGTCTTTAGTTGAGGAGTTATCAGGAATGAGAATCGCAACATCATGTACAGCAGCATGCCAAACATCATAGGACTGAGACATTAAGAAGGCTTCCATTCTAGTTTTCCAAGAGTCATAGTTTGAACCCTCAAATCCTAGAGCTTTGTTGATAACTTGACTTTCATCTATTGCTTGGATCAACTGCAGGCTTATTAGAACCTCACAATGTAGACCAAAGCTCTGATACAAATTATTGAACCAAGAGAGGGGGTGAATTGGTTAACACTTTGCTTTATAAAACTTTCACAATGCAACTAAACAAGCATTCAAGGAACAGATAACACAAAGTTTACAAGGAAACCCTCTTAACTAGGGAAAACCTTGGTTCTTGGCCTCAGCCAATAAGCAATCCACTACTAGCTGTATGTATCTTATTACACACTCAGTTGTCTCACTCTCTGTACACACACCCAGGCACAAGAATAAATACTAATTTCACAACTAATACACACACTAGTACACCACAGTGCATCCGAGTACTCCCCTTGTCCTAAGCAACCATGCTTGGACCAAATAAGCTCTCATAGTTCACCAGACACACCATTACAGATATAGTTTAGTACAATAAAGTCTTTGCAACAATTAAAATAAACTGGACACACAGAATTCCAAGTTATTGCCTCAAAACTACAATCTGCTGCATCTAGGGTCCGAGGGGTAACATGGGAAATTCCTTTCGAGATCAATTTACCAGCACCTTACACAGTCTTCTTTCACTGTTGTACTCATGTTCATAACTTTGCATAATCAAACACAGCATAAGTATATCACAAAAGTTCAGTTAAAGTCCTTAGTTCAGCACAGAATACCTTCAGTACAAAATAGCTTCAGCACAGAATAGTCTCAACATAAAATAGCTTCAGCATAGAATACTCAAAATCAAACCATACCATATTTTTGTCACAAGCTCAACTTTTAACAATCTTGATTCATCAAAATATACTTGCTAGCAGCATAAATCATCATGAAATAGCTAAGTATAATCAAACAGCACTTGAATCCAAGATTATTTCACAAAAACAAGCTTAACTAGTGACCACACTGTCCAAATTCATTTTATGTATATTCTCAACACAAACACAGTCTGAGCAAGTGTAAAAAGATGAATTATACCTGTGTCAACCTTCATAATAGACCACAGCAGCATGAAACACAAAGTCACTACTCAATACAGCCCTTGCATCAGCAACTTTG